TTTTTTATTTTTTTATTTTGAACAATGGAAGTTGAAAATATTGAGGCTGAGAATAAGCATTCTGAAAAATCATCCGGTAATGTTTCCGGTGTCTTTCCTCTTCCCTGTTCTTCGTCTTCCGGAGACAACCCAGCTATACAGATTACTAACCACCGTTTAAACGGTAAGAATTATGAGCAATTTCAGAAGGTGATGTCTCAATCTGCTGAGGCAACTAGTCATGTTGCTCAACAAGGTATGGCATTCCATGTTGATCATAGTAGTCGTTGGATTCTTGATTCGAGAGCTTCTGATCATATGACAGGTAATGCATCCCTGTTTTGTTCTTATACCCCTTATTATCACCAGTCACGAATAAGGACGGCTGATGGTAGTTTCTCTAATATTGCGGGAAAGGGATCCATTAAGCTCTCTGAACATATTACTCTGAATTCTGTCCTTCATGTCCCTTCTCTTACTTGTAACCTTATCTCTATTAGTAAACTTTCCTCTGAATTGCATTGTGTTGCTAAATTCTCTGCCAAAACCTGTGTTTTTCAAGAACAGGATTCGGGGCTGATGATTGGCAGTGCTAGAGAGGAAGAAGGGCTTTACTATTTTGAAGAAGATTCTCATGAAAAGAGATTTTTTGCAAATCACTCTTTATGTTTATCAGACGATTGTAATGATGTTTTGTTGTGGCATCGTCGTTTAGGACACCCAAATTTCTTTTATCTTCAAAAGCTGCTTCCAAACTTATTTATCAACAAAAAACCAAGTTCCTTTTTTTGTGATGATTGTCAGTTTGCAAAACACTCTCGTGTTTCTTATTTCCCTAGAGATTATCATGTTTCGTCTCCATTTACTTTGATTCATAGTGATATTTGGGGCCCAGCTCGTGAAAAAAATATATCTGGAACTCGTTGGTTTATTACCTTTATTGATGATCATTCTAGAGTATGCTGGGTATATCTTCTAAAAGATAAGTCTGAAGCTGCAGCCACTTTTAAAAATTTTCATGCTATGGTACAAACTCAATTCCAGACCTCTATCCAAATCCTGCGAACTGACAACGGTACTGAATATTTTAATTCTGTTCTTGGTGATTACCTAACCAAGCAAGGTATTATCCATCAAAGTTCTTGTCCTAACACCCCTCAACAAAATGGGGTGGCTGAAAGGAAAAATAGACATCTCATTGAAGTTGCTAGAGCCCTCTTGTCTACAATGCATGTCCCTAAATAGCTGTGGGGGGAGGCTGTCTTGACTGCCTCATATCTCATCAATCGGATGCCCTCTCGCGTCCTGAATTTTCATTCTCCCATATCTTGCCTTACCCGCTCTTTTCCCTCCTTTCGGGCTCTCTCTTCCCTTCCTCCAAAGTTGTTTGGCTGCGTGGTTTTTGTTCATATTCCTCCACATCAAAGGTCCAAACTTGATCATAAGTCTGTTAAATGTGTCTTCATAGGATATCCTCCTAATCAAAAAGGTTACAAGTGCTACTCACCTTCTCTTCGAAAGGTCTTTGTTTCTATGGATGTTACTTTTTGTGAAACACAATCATTTTTTCCCTCGACTTCTCTTCAGGGGGAGTCTATTGGTATAAATGAAGACAAGTCTTGGAATCCAAATAATTCTACTGTCTTACCTTTACCCTTGGAAACATCTGTTGTTTCTTTACCTTTGGAGTCAGGGGGAGTTAATGTACAGGAGACAAGGACAGCAATTGTACCAGAGACTGGAGATCCTCCCGGTAAATGGGGAAAATTCTACAGCAGGCGAAAATCTCCTCAAGATCCTCTAGACTGCCAGGATTCTGACCCGAGTCCTAGTTCCAGCAATCCACTTGAGAACACTAGTACAACTGACCTAGATGTGCCCATTGCCCTTCGAAAAGGTACTAGATCTTGCACTGCTCATCCTATTTCTCATCACATTTCATATGAAAAGTTATCTCCAGGTTTTCGTGCTTTCAACACCATATTAGACGGTACAAAAATACCAAAAGATATCCAAGAGGCACTTAATGACCCTAAATGGAGGGATGCAGTCTTTGAAGAAATGGATGCTCTTAAAAAAAATGGAACTTGGGAGTCCGTGGCACTTCCCAGAGGAAAGAAAACTGTAGGTTGCAAATGGGTGTTCACAATAAAATTTAATGCAGATAACAGCATCAACAAATATAAGGCCAGATTTGTTGCCAAAGGATTTACTCAGACTTATGGGATAGACTATCAGGAGACGTTCGCTCCCGTTGCCAAACTTAACTCTATCCGAGTCTTACTATCACTTGCTGCCAACCTTGATTGGCCTTTGCATCAATTGGACGTAAAGAACGCTTTCTTAAATGGGGACTTACATGAGGAAGTTTACATGGATCCACCACCTGGTTTTGAACAGGGAGATGGTTCTGTATGCATGTTGAAGAAATCTCTTTATGGACTTAAACAATCCCCTAGAGAGTGGTTTGAAAAGTTTACTCGTGTTGTTAAAGAAAGAGGATTTATCCAAGCTCAGACTGATCACACTTTATTTTTTAAACACTCCGATAGTGGCAAAATTGCTATCCTCATTGTTTATGTTGACGACATAATTGTCACAGGTGATGACTGGGAAGAAATAAAATCTTTAAAAGGGGGTTTAGCTAGTCAGTTTGAACTAAAGGATCTTGGATCTCTCAAATATTTCCTTGGAATGGAAGTTGCTCGTAGCAAGGCGGGAATTTCCTTATCTCAGAAGAAATATATTCTAGACCTGCTACAAGAAACAGGTATGCTTGGGTGCAAGCCTGCAGAAACTCCAGTTGAACCCAATATTAAATTGGGAATTGAAGATGGAAAAGATGTTGACAGGGAGCACTACCAAAGGTTGGTAGGGAAGCTGATCTACTTATCTCACACTCGGCCTGATATTGCATTTGCGGTTAGCATGGTTAGCCAATTCATGCATTCTCCTAAGGAAAAACACCTTAGTACTGTTTATAGAATCCTCAAGTACCTCAAAAACACCCCTGGTCGAGGAATGCTCTTTAAAAGGGGACACAAGAGGATGATAGAAATCTATACAGATGCTGATTGGGCTGGCTCTGCTATGGACCGAAGATCCACTTCAGGATATTGTACCTATGTCTGGGGAAATCTTGTGACCTGGAGAAGTAAGAAACAAACTGTTGTTGCCAGAAGCAGTGCAGAAGCAGAATTTCGGGCGCTAGCCCATGGCATTTGTGAAGGAATCTGGTTAAGAAGGCTCCTTGGAGAATTAAAGATATCTTATTCTCTACCTGTGAGACTCTATTGTGATAATAAGGCTGCAGTCAGTATTGCTCAAAATCCTGTACATCATGACAGAACCAAACATGTGGAGGTTGATCGTCATTTTATCAAAGAAAAATTGGAGGAGGGTAGTGTATGTTTGTCATATATACCTACCAAGGAGAAAACAGCCGACATTCTCACCAAAGGATTACACAAACCCATCTTTGAGGATTTAATTAGCAAGTTGGGGATGATCAATATATATCTCCCAACTTGAGGGGGAGTGTAGAATATTCTAGAGTTTTCTACTTGTTTCTAGCTACTTGTTCCTTTGAGTAGTGTGATGCCTCTTCGGTTATTGTGTATTTTATTTATTACTTCAACTCCTTAACTACCTTGTAATCTGTATATAAAGATCCCTTTGGGTGTCAATCAATATATGAAAAATACATTTCAGTCTTATATTTCATCAGAATTTGAATAATATTCCTTTTTCTAACAATTATGGCACCAAACAAAACACCCAAGTAAAGCAACCAAAGTCTAGCAAGGGGGCGATCAATTTTTTTTTTTATTAAATGGACTGCCGTGAAAAGGAGTATAAGATATGTTCAGACAAGGCAACCAAAAAAAGCAAATCAAACAAAACAAAAGACATTGAAACGAGAATTTTTCAATCCCTAACCAAGATGACTCTCTCAAAGAAACCATGTGCTAGACACCAAAAAGAGCCCAAGTAGAAACAAACCTGTCCAAAAACATGTTTATGGAGAGATTTTTCCTTAAAAATGAGTATTAGTCAGAAGATATTAGATCCTAAATTTAAACTAGATTTCAACTGTCTAGTTTCTCAGTCAAGACAAGAATAATTTAGTTCTACCAGTTAAGCTTCACGTTACCAAATAAAGTATTATGAGATTGCCTCTAACCATTATTTCAAACTGTTACAACTCTGCTTTTGGGGGTGATAGAAATGTTATTGCAGAAGAGGAAAAATGGAAGAGAAGATGAGAAAAGGAAGAAAGATGATGATTTTATTGATGGTATAATAGAAGATCTTACAAGAGGTAAACCTCTTCTACAGGGGCACTCCCCTCCCTCTGAGAGACTCTCAGCCTAATTCAATTCTTTTCCAAAAGTTGCCCTTCTACAGTTAGAGAATTCCTTTTATACATCAGGCTAAACCTCTCCCCTTAAGGTCTAACTGAATAACCACCTAATTACAAGCCTAACTGCATCATACAGTAGTTACAATTAACTTGGGCCACTAATTACTGCTCTTAACTAACCACTACCTAATATAGGTCGTAACACAAACTGAGGCTGGTTTGTTCATAAATGTGAATTTAATGCCAGTAAAGTAGTATATTAAAGGATTTTTCTTCCTTTCACCAAAACAGAGAAAAAGTTTTTTTCCCATCTCTTTTTTTTTCTTTCTACAACCGGCTCAGTTTCTCTGCAACTTGCGTTGATGATAACAAAGCCAAGTTATATTGACAAACTGACAGCTAACTGTTGGGAAAAGGAATATCAAGCTTAAGTCAGTAATTTCATTTACTATTACAAATTATGCAAACAGACACATATACGAGTTACAAAATATAATTATTAACATGTACTTTAATCCTTTAGCCAAAGGAGGAAATTCTCGTTACTCAATTAAGAAGGAATGTTGCCACAGCCTTCTCTTTTCTTTTGGGGGTTGAGATTTCATTTTACTCAAACAATCAATTGATTTGTAAATATGGAGAAGCATAGCAGACATACTGGGTCAGATATTTTATCAATATCCACTGTCCCTTCATAGGTAATATAAAAGAAAACATTATTTGCTGCAATAGCCTCTCTGCCCTGTTGCTTATACCTGCATGATCCAACTAATTAATGTAACCAGATATAAATTATCAAGGAACAATAATAAAGTGGAAATTTAAAAATGAATATTTTAGATACCTATATTGTTGAATATAGAAGTTGTTACAATATTTGAATTGCTGTTGTATAAGATAGAATCTTTTTATTTGATTTGATTTAAGTTGCTGTTACAATTAGATAGCTGTTACAATCCGGAAAGCTGTTACCATTTGATTTGAAAATGTTGTTAGTAGTTCCATAGTTTTAGGATGCTATAATTGTATAAATATATCTCCAAAATGGTGAAGAAATCGAATGAGAAAGAACAAATATTTCAGTACCTTTGTTTATGCCTATTTGAGTATTACAGTGTTGGAGTTTTAACATATATTAATAATGCAAACTTATAAAGCCACTCCCCAGGGGTGGGTGAGAGCAATGCAATCTTATACGCAGTGTTACTCTTGCATATTTACAAAGAGGTTGTTTTCCATATTCGAACCTGTGACCTTTCAGTCACAAGGAGTAGCTTTACCACCGCTCCAGGCTCGCCAATAGTGCAAAGTTATGAAAAATGAAAATCATAAACAGACAAGATGAAGCTTTGAAGCAGGTCCATGTACCCACAGAGAGGGGAAGAAACCAAAATGTAGGAAAAAGACGTACCCAAATATGAGGTCAATCCACTCATGCAAATGAGCAGATACATACTCACTCTCCAGAGCTTTTCTATGCTTATGTACAAAATCAACTGGATTCTCAGCCCAAGCAGGAAGTCTTACGGTATCTGGTATGGCAGAAATAAATCACAAATAAAGTTATTAACTATAATATGCATGTGAGTATACCAAGACGTTTTCTCGAAAAGCTAATGCAGAAAATCTTAATGAGTATACCAAGCTTTTCTCCCAGTTGTGTTGTGCCAAAATCAATTGAATTTTCATTTGTGAGGACCTCGGGGAGGTAAAATAGCTCAGGAACCTATTAAGTTAAGATTTAAAAAACAAAACAAAAAAAAGATGCTTAAAATAAAAGTTTCAATATAACCACGACAAGCATTTAATATGTAAGTTCATCAAGGACCACTAAAACTTATCAAAAAGAGACAAATGAATCTACTCAAAGTCCATAAGTACAAAACCAACACTTTACAATAAAAGTTAATAAACATATACCAATTCCTTAACATCACTCATGTCCTCAAGAACTCCATTCCAAGTAGCAGAAATATCAGAAAACATCCGATCTGCATGATCAAATTTTCCACCTTGCAGTTTGATAGCAAGGGTAGTGAACGGTTCAACCCTAACAAGATAATACAATACCTGTAAATGAAGATAACAATCATTAACTAACGCAAAATCAGCAACTGAAATGCAACCATATTGGATGACATCATTACTATTGCTATTTTAGAAGAACAGATAAATATCACACATCACCCTGGTGATTTATTCTATGATCTCAGCAAACAAATGGAAAATTGAAAGAAGAAGCCAAAAAGAAACCCTGATCTAACAGCAACAATTAAAAAAGGCACAAGCTTATAAGATCACAATTTTTTAGGGTTATCAGATTCGGTGAGGTGTTAATTTTTAGTCTCTTTCTGTATTAGGACTTGGTTGATGTTACTTAAATGTAAACTAATCTTATTTTGATTTCTAAGCATTCATAACTGGATAGTATTACTTCGAAGCCAAAAGAGGCCATTTAGTTTTATCAGAACATGATTAAGAATTTAAAATGGTCTAGCTATAATAATCTATATGGTTTCTTGTTAGAGATATATAAAACTATTAACGTAGCCTCACCCAACAACTTAAGCTTTTGGGTTGAATTGGTTCTTTATATTTCCCTTTATAAATCATCTGTCCTAAAAGCAATGAATATACTCTATGTCTCTTGTTGTGAATTTTGTGGATGCCGTATGTTCAGATGATTGTATACTTTGTGCATCTAACATACTAACATAATGCAGCCAAAACTTATTCACATTTTATTTATTGACGGAAATTCAGGATAGGTGATACTTAGGGCTCGTTTGGATGGGCTTTAGAAAAAATGACTTTTTATGAGTTACTTTTTTTAAAAGAACTTTTTTTAAAAGTTAAAGTTATTTTGCATTTGGATGTGATATTTAAAAAGCGCTTTTAATTAAAAATGTCATTTGAATGTTAAAATAAAAAAGCACTTTGTAAACATAAAATGACTGTTGTACCCTTAAAAAAAATTCCCTTTTCCCCCCAAAAAATCCCCCTTCAAGATACACAGCCGCCCTCCTCGATCTAGAAGTGCTTTGTTTTATGTTGGTGAGGCTGGTTTTCAATTGATACACCCTTGGTGCATTCTCCACACAGTATCGTTTCCTTAGATCATCCTAAAGTTACATTGCAAAAGCAAAGTATTGTATGTAGGGCTGCAGCATTGGATATATGGTGCTATAGATCCAGCCGGTTATCATGGAGTTCACAGCAATCCACGCTCTACCTTCATCGGAAGCTATGTCTCTTGGTTTCGTAATAGCACTGGTAATGAAATCGAGTTTGTTCTTGGTCAGGTCACTGTTATTGCTTGAATCTGCCATGTTGATGCTTCTGCGCATCAAAGAAAATCACTGTTTCTGGATCGTTAGGTGCTCTGATTTGGTCAAAGGAAGGATGGGTAAAATTGGTCATGAGATATTTGGGGTTGCTTCTGCCTTGTGCTTTTTTCAGAAGTCAAAAATTTTAACTTCTCACAAAAGCAAAATTTTGGCTTTTTTATTAACTTCATTTCTTAAAAGTTGATATCCAAACAGCAGAAAATTTTTAAAAGCAGCTTTTGAAATGGGAGAAGCCCATCCAAACAAGCACTTAGTAGGAGAAGGCATTAAAATCACCGAAATTAGGAGCACATCCCAAAGAATCAAACTTCACATCTTCTCCAAGTTAACCACTTAAGAAAAGCTCCATATGGATCAAACCATCTGGAGATAACTGATTTGATGAATGAATTCACAAAGTAAAAACATAAGCCAAAAACCCAACATCAATAGTCTTCTGATAGAAATGGACTAGAATCTAGGAAATTTATGGAAAAAAAAGGAAAATTTTATGGGGAGGGTTATGTTTACAAACTTTTTGTTTACAAACTACATTATATACTCCGGGGAGTACACTCACTTGGAAATGTATCTCCCGGAGTACATAGTGTAGTTTGTAAGAGTTTGCAAATAAAATTTTTGTAAATATAACCTAATCCCAAATTTTATTGATAAGGAAAATAGAGTTATTACAATGACTGATATCCAAGACTTCGAGAATCTAATCTCTCCCTACAACTCAATTCTAATCTCTACATGCCTCCCCCTCCATCTTCTTTTTCCTTTTATCCTAATGCTAACTTGGGGGAATATCCTCCCAAATCTTGAATTCCTAAGGATTATATCAAATAATATCCCCTCAAATCAAGTAACTCTATCTAACAACACAATATCTAACCATATCAATTAATAACCAGTAACTATCTACTATATTTAAAAAATATCAATTAATATAAAGTACTATTATCCAATATATCAAAATTAATATCATGTAACTATATCTAATATATCTAAGTCTAACAATATCAATTAAATATAATTACTATTATTAATAGGACCTACCGAACTATATCATTGGATGACCATCCCTATTTCTTCCCTATTTCTTGAACCAACACCACTCAAACACTTCAAACTTAGTGCACCTTCAGATTTGACATTTCAGACTAGGCTTGATGAGACTTGACATTGGAGTAGGCTAGGTGAGCCCCTTGAGCTGACCCATTGCTCCTATTTCACACTTCATTGCTGATTTTGCGCACTACTGCAACACGAAGACCCAGCCTTCTCCTTATGAAAGTACAAGTCCGCCGGTTCAAGTAATGGTGTTAGGTTGGCAATCTCGGCTGGCACCGATGGAGTCGTTGGTACCCGCACAATCTTCGCTAAAGCCTCCTCTTTCAGATTAGGTCATTCAATGATGATTAATCTTCTTCTTTAGGTTTCTTCTTGTTAGAATAGATATGATTAGATTTGAATAGATTACTTCCTATCTGTAAATATTCTTTTTGGATTAGATCTAGGCTTCTCACTTAAGCCCATTAGGGTCTCTATATATTGTAACTCTTTGTATTAGATTAATACACAACACATTATTTTATATTCAAGTTGGTACCAGAGCTCTTTTGTTTTGGGACCCTCGCTTTCGCTTAAAACTTCGTTCTCGCTTTAAAACCTAAGCCCACTGCTTAGGAATCCTCTTTTCTTTGCCGTGCGTCCTTCCGGCAAGCCATACAGGGCTGTAAGCTCCTTTAGAATAATTTCCAAACGCATCAGCACCTCTGACAGCCACCGGAACCGCCGTCCAGCACTGTTCAGGCCGCCGGAGAAGTTTTCCAGCGAGTTTTCGAACCAAACCACCAGTGATCAAGAGCCTCTCTTCCCGGCGACCAAGTCTGTGGAAGTTCGACCACCATCGCAGCAGTCACGTGCCGTCTTTCTCCTCTGCGCGTGGTGCTCACGCGCCACCTTCTGTCGGCGCGTGTGCAATGTTCCATTGGAATTTTCCGGCCGTTTTTGGACAGAAAAGCTCGTTGTCTCCTCCCCTTTCCAGATCTGTGATTGGATCTTTGTGTGTCTCACTTTTTGTGCGTGCCTCTTCTTGATTTGTGATCAGGTTCGTTCCTATTTACTTAGTTTATATCCTTGTGATTTAATATAATGGTAGCAACTTCTCCTGTTCATTCGGAAGTCAGTTCTCCCCCTCGTCCAGCCAAAAGTTCTCCTAATATCATCTCCACCAATGTTGGGCCCATTACCTCTTCAAAGTTGAAGGGTTCTGTTAATTACAAGAACTGGGCCACCTCTGTTCGAGTTTGGTTCTTTGGACAGGGACATGGGAACCATCTCTCGACTAAATCTACTGATATTCCCAAGGAAGAAAAATCTGATTGAGAAAGGATTGACAACCAGCTTCTGAGTATCCTTTGGCAGTTGATTGATCCAGTCGTCTTGGACATCTTCTATTCTTTTCAAACTTGCACTAAAGTGTGGGAGGAAGCAAAACACCTCTACACTAATGATGTTCAGCAGCTCTATTCCATCATGTCTCAGTTTATGGATCTGCGCAAATCATCTGACACTCAGATGGAGACATATGTTGGCAAAAGTCGATCTCTGATGCAGGCATATTTGGATATGTTGCCATACCCTACTGATGCGTCTGCATATCGGAAATAGGTGGAACGTCTCTTTACGGTTGCCACACTTTCTGGTCTTCCTGAAGAATATCATAATGTCCGGGATACTATCTTGACCAGTGGGGATCCTGATCTATCAATGACGTATCAGCGTCTTCTGAATCTTAATAAGAGATCTGCTCCTGCATCATCTATTGTTGCTGATTCCACTGCTCTAGTTTCTCGTACTGATTTTCGCGGGAATATTGGAGGTGGTCGTGGACGTGGCTCAGGAGGACGTGGTCAGCGACCTCGTTGTCATTATTGTCAGCAACTCGGTCATTATGAGGAACGTTGCTACACAAAGTATCCTCACCTGCGACCCTCTCATGCTGCTAATATAGCTCAATCGGATACTGCTTCAACTAGTACAGTCTCTCTCTCCTCTGAAGACTATGCAGCACTCCAGACCCTTCTCAGGAAGGCTTCTCCTCAGTCTCAGCCCTCTGCTTCAGAAACTGGTAATCCCGTTGCTTGTGTTTCTCATTCTGCATCACTTGGTCCTTGGATATTTGACTCAGGTGCTACTGATCACCTTTGTGGTAATAAGGAACTTTTTTCATCCCTTACATATTCTGATAATTTACCCTCTTTTACTCTTGCAGAAGATGGTTCCTCTTTTATCCGGTCTTCAGACTTTAGATTGTCAGTCATGTCAGCAAGGGAAACACATACGCTCCTTCTTTGCTAATCGAGTCAATAAATGAGCTAATGCTCCTTTTTCAATTATTCATTAAGATATTTGGGGTCCTAGTCGTAGTGTATCTGTTTTAGGTTTTCGGTATTTTGTTACCTTTATTGATGATTTTTTACGTTGTACTTGGATTTATTTAATGAAAAACCGTTCTGAGTTATTTTCTATTTATCTAAAATTTTCTGCTGAAATTCATACTCAATTTGGTGCTTCTATTCGTATTTTACGTAGTGATAATGCTGAGGAATATGTTTCTGTTAACTTTTCCAATTTCTTAGCCACACAGGGTACTTTACACCAAACTACTTGTTCTAACACTCCACAACAAAATGGAGTAACTGAACGTAAAAATAGACATCTCATTGAGACTGC